GAGCGCGCGGGGCGGTGGCTGTGGGGAGGCAGGAGCTGCAGAAGATGCACGCGTTGACTGGGACGGGACGAGTAAGGGCGCACGAAGCGGTGCCGTGCCGTGCCCTTGCTGTCTCAGGGAGGTAGTCTTGTGTGCAAGCTCGAGGTGCTGGTACCAGACAGGAATGCTCACCGCGCTCTGCGGCTGCCTGAACAACATGGCTTTTGATCCGTTGCCGTTAAATGTCCATAAAGAGTTCAATCTCGCTCTCTCTGACTATTTTTATACTGGTTGTCAGTGCTGCAGGAGCGATTTCATGTAAGGCCTTGGGACTGTAACGGCTCTGTCTGTGAAAGAGGCGTAGCGATTCTGGCTTTGGACATGTGCGCTAGAATACATATCTGCGGTATGGCAATCGTCTTTTCAGTACGTTTCTTTATGCTATGTTTTACGTAGAAATAATTCTTTGTCTTTACATAGACGTCTGTCCGGGCAGATCTGTGCTACACACACCACTAAAATAAAAAAAAAGTGTGAAGCGTACAAAGATTTTTTTTTTTTTTAAATTGTGCAGTAATGCCTTCGGCTTGTATCTACCTTGCAGAAAGCTAGATAGATCCACTGGCCATTACTTTGCTCGCACTGTGATTTGAAGAAGCCCTCTAAGTAACTGGAGCTTCAAAAACTAGTCACCAAGAGCATAACTTTTCAAGTGACAACATGTTGCAGCCAGAACACTAAAGCAAAAATCGCAGTACCAAATGTGACAGTGGCTAACAATGTGATGAATTAATGGTGTTATAAAACCATGAAGCATTGAGGCCTGTTCCAGTTTGTTCGCGCTCAGGAGCAGAGTTGCACGGCACCCATAACGTGCTCTTAAGCTGCTGCGGCGTCCCCTGCGAGCGTGACCTAGTGTCCCAAGGAACTTTTATATTTATCTCTATGTGAAAAGATGTCTCTAGAAATAAGAACAATATTTGGGTAATAGTATCTCTATTGCTGAAATTTCAAAACCAATCAACTTTAGAAGAGGAGCACATTTTTATGGCACAGGCTCCTTTGCCGTTAGTATTTCATATCCTCCAAATTGAATGATTTATATAATGAAGACACTGAAACAATATCAAGAATTTAGGCTACAGATGTTTCATATTTATTAGGTTTCCAAGAGCTGAGATAAACACAGGAATAAGTGATACCATGTCTTTGCCTGACGTTCAGGAGGCTTTGGCATATCGGATGAGATACAGTTTCAGGGTTTATCTAAGTGCAGAGTTTGTACAAAAAGCAAAAAGATACCAGCTGTTATTTTAGTTCTCTCTCATTCCTTCCTCCCTCCCCCCGTCCCCTTAAAGACTGAAAACCATTTTCAGGGAATGTGTGGGAAAATTATATTATTGACTAGGAGAGTAATATTGCCCGGCAGGCTCTTCGCTGGACTCACCAGAGAGCCACTGTTTCTCAAATGCAGCTGTATGTAATTTGGCTGCTAGTCTCCCAGGAGCCGGAGGAGGCTGGGGGCCTCGGCCCCCTCGCTCTGGCAGGCAGGGCGAGTCACGCACCCCATTTTTTTCCCGCGCGGCCGGTGGGCGGGCGGCTCGCTGACCTTCAGCGGGACTTGTGATTTGAAACTACTTTGCGCTGTTAAAACTCGCGTCCTAGATAGCGACATCGCTCTCGGCTCCCTGGAAAATCTCAGCCTTATTTGATGTCAGGCTGAAATGTGTCAGATTCGGCAATAAGCAGTAGCGAACCCTCCCC